CTCATCTCCCTGCAGTCTGGAGCAGAGAGCTTTAAAGGAGCCCCAGTCTCACTGTGACCTGTGTCAGTGTTACAGGTAGAGACACAGCCCTTATACTGTATATAGACACAGAGTGTGTGTGTGTGCATGACTATGCCTGGGCTAAGATATCTTTGTTTCTGAGGTAAATGTCCTTTGCACCCAAACACCGGTCATTATCAGCGTGATCAACTTGATTGATTGGTCAGTCTGGGGACAGAGAGGAGAGCTGATGAGGCACAGACACAGAAAAGAGAATGAACACACTGGTTCACACTCAGTGTCAGCTCTGTGAGAACTAACAGATAAACACACGAGTGTATTACTTTATAAAATAGTACAAGACAGTGTATTGGTGTATACTACTGTACAGGACACGATGTACTACGACCAGTGCCCAGTGTATTGGTGTATACGCTACCATAGTGCCCAGGGTGTATTAGTGTACACTCTACTATAGTGCACATATCAATGTTCATTTCTCAGTCCTCGTGTCTCAGAGTGCAGAACCGGGTTTCCAGCACACATCCCGGCACGCACACAGGCAACGAGATGTTCTGGTCGAGCCGCCCCTGGCGCACCGAACCGCGGACGGTACCGTCCGGCGCGAACCGACTCGTCAGGACCGGCCACTGCCAGAGCAGCGCCGGGACGGCTCAGGAAGCCCGGTTTCAAGGCGCTATATACAGGAAAGCGCCTGATACGGACGTCATCTCTGACAGGGACGCGCCGCCGGTGAGCAGCGCTGACTCTCCCGGTCGGGTACCCCGGTCCCCGGGGATCCGACGGGGCGCCTTGAGTTACCGCAGCTAACTCGCCACCGCGACCCCACCACCCCGACACCCCCCCGCGGGAGCACAGGAAGGGGCTCCCCTGCAGGACCCGGCCCTTACCTGGATCTGCCGGGCTGAGACGGACCCCATTCTGCGGTCCGCTCCCTGCTTCCTTCCCGGTCGCCATCTTTCCCTGCCCTCCTCAGCACCGCCCCCTAGCAGACTCCTCCCCCAGCTCATCCGGGTCCCGCCTCGCCGTGACCGCCTCCGCCAATCGCCATCTCGCTTCCGCTAATTCCCTCCCTATCGAGCCTAGTTGCTAAGAGCAACCGCCCGCCTTTTTCCTTCTATGAGCTCGGCCTTTTGGAAATAAACCCCGCCCCGCATGACGCCTGGAGCAGAGTTTACCGTAATGTTTCCTATATCGACGCCAACCAAAATCTAAGCACAACCACTCAGGCACAGCTTTGAGGAATCCAGGACGCCCACATTTTCGAAATATATCCTATCTTATCCCACAAGGAATGCTACAGACCTTCGAACTGCCGTGCAATCTGTCTTTAAAAATGTGTCTTTCAAGCTGCGAGAAACAAATGAAACAAATACAGATAAATAAGTGAATTTGCAAAACATCCTGCACAGCCGGAATGTTGTCTCTTTTCTTTTCCTTTCAGCATGAAATTAACCTTTACCTGTATCCTGCTAATTGTAATCGAGAACTTAACATTATTTTATTGATATAAAAGTTATTGATATTTATAACTGCAAGGAGACACAGGTCACAGTGAGACTGGGGCTCCTTTAAAGCTCTCTGCTCCAGATTGCAGGGAGATGAGTCTCCTGACTCTATAAGGGCTGTGTCTCTACCTGTAACACTGACACAGGTCACAGTGAGACTGGGGCTCCTTTAAAGCTCTCTGCTCCAGATTGCAGGGAGATGAGTCTCCTGACTCTATAAGGGCTGTGTCTCTACCTGTAACACTGACACAGGTCACAGTGAGACTGGGGCTCCTTTAAAGCTCTCTGCTCCAGACTGCAGGGAGATGAGTCTCCTGACTCTATAAGGGCTGTGTCTCTACCTGTAATGCTGACACAGGTCACAGTGAGACTCCGGATTTGCAGGGACAGTAGCATCTCCAGCAGTGGGCGGAGAAGGACAGGGTGCTCTGGAGTGTCTAGGAGGGCAGGGAGCAGTGAGCTGAAGACTCTGACCCTGCAGGCTGCCTCACCCACATGGCGTAATGACAGGACAGCTGTGCCGAGGCTGCTGGGGTGTGAAGTTTGTTCCAGGTTAAACAAACAGCACACTAAGGAGACAAACAGCCTCAGCCTGTGTGAGCCAGGGCAGATGTATTGAACTGCAGCCCAGCCAGTTCCAGACCAAGGAAAGATTAGCTGGAACTGGAGGCTGTGGGTCACTCTGGAGATGAGCACTAAGGAACAGTCTATCTCTGCTGCTGAGTCACTGTCTCGCACACACAGAAACACACACACATGCACAAAAAAAACACACAGAAACATATACACACTGGACACACAGTCACAGACGCGCGCTGGACACACAGTCACAGACGCGCGCTGGACACACACTCACAGACGCGCGCTGGACACACACTCACAGACGCGCGCTGGACACAATGCTGTGTCTTCTAACACCACACCGCTCGTCAGACTGCAGCAACACTGCTACAGCCCCACCTGCTGATCACTAAGTAACACTGCAGCTGACTTCATTTCTCTGTGTCAGTATATACAGTACACACACGACCACACGTTAAGGCACAGGGACTCCTGTGGGAAACCCTGCTTATACCCCGTACTGCACCGTTTTCATCCCGATCTCACTGGGCCTTACTGCAATGTACTGTCTTTTAATCATCATCATCATTATTATCATCACTTCTGCAGCACTTTACAGTGCTTTACAGGTAATGAGGACTCACCTCCACCACCAGTGTGCAGCCCCACCTGGATGATGCGCCAGTCTGCTCCCCACACACCAGCTCTCAGTGGGGAGGAGAGCAGAGGGATGGAGCCAGTTCAGATTATCAGGGATTATTAAGAGGCCATGATGGGTACATTTGGCCAGGTCTGGGGTTTGAAGGATGGCACTCTTTCACAGTCTAGTGTCCCCCTCACTATACTGGGGCATTAGGACCCACACAGACGCAGGGTGAGCTGCCAGCTGGGAGTTACTGGGTTGTAATAGCTGCTGGTATGTTTTACGTTGATTTCACTGGGATTTACTGCAGTGTCCTGTGTTTTACCACAGTGCTACACCACAATTACCTTCCAGAAACTATAGTGTGCTTTTAGCTTGACTGTGGAACTGTGATGTGCTTTGCTCTAACTGTAAGAACACCTTGGGGTTGTATTTAGTAATCAATCATCTCTCAATTAAAATCTGTTCAATTCAAAGGGCTTTATTGACATGAGTGAGCTGTTCCAGTATTGCTAAAGCACAGCAGCAGACAACACATAGCTACAACAGTTCCTGAACTACTCCGTAAAAAAGAACACGTACAGAACAGAACAACTAGCAGGATACTGAGGAAAGAGCAACTCTGTCTACAGAAATCTCCCTCCCACCCTCTCCCTTTTCTCCTTCTCCTGACCTCTCTGTTTGTGTCTCCTCTCCCCCCTCCCGTCCCTCTCCTTTTCCTATTCCAGTCCCACCCCAGTGCTACTCCAGCCCACTCCCACTCCCACTGCCACAATTCTCTCAGGGTTTTTCCAGCTGGATGTCCGAGCCCCTCAGGTTGGCAACATCCTCATAGGGTCCATGGACTTTGGATCGGGATATGTCATGATACATGGAGCACTCATCCAGATTGAGACCCTGGAGAGAGACAGGAGACTCCTTGAGAAGTGAACACACACAGTAGGAAAGGAGACACACTGAGAGAGAGGAGAACACAGAGAATCCCTCAGTAATAAACACACACTGTAGGACAGGAGACAGTGAGAGAGAGGAGATCACAGAGAATCCCTCAGTAATAAACACACACAGCAGGACAGGAGACACAGTGAGAGAGAGGAGAACACAGATAATCCCTCAGTCATAAACACACTGAAGTGTGTGAGAGAACTGAGGCAATAATTTAAATAATGCAGGAGGATATGCAGTAATTATACAGAAAAAATACACAAAAAATCACACCAAAGGCAACATTCTCTATCTGTTCTGTCATTTCATATTCTTCTCACCTCATAGATATTCTCCTCCTCCTCTCTCCTCTTCTTCTTAAAATCCAGGGACTTTTCACTCTGTTGCTTCGCCTTTAGATAAGGAAAGAGACACTAAGTACAACTATAATGATGCTTCAGCACAACACACAGTGACTATTACAGTATCTTCACTGAATACTGTTATAGGACTGTTTCATTACTGAATACTGACTAATATTTCATGTACGGAGCACACTATTATAGTACTGTCTTTATTGACCTCTGACTGTAATCATTTATACATAAATCACAGTGACTATTACAGGGCTGTGTCTATCCTGAACACTGACTGCAGTATTTTCAACATGAAGCACAGTGATTATCACAGGACTGTGTCTTTACTTAGCACTGACTGTAATATTTTATACAGGAAGCACAGTGACTATTACAGGCCTGTGTCTTTACTGAACACTGACTGTAATATGTAACACTTCTGTAACATTTCCTGTTTTATACAGGAAGTATTATGACTATTATGGGACTGTGTATTTACTGAATGCTGACTGTAATATGTTTAAAAAATCACAGCCAAGGTAACTACAATCCTGTCATAGTCACTGTGTTTCATGTATTAAAAGGACTGTGTTTACAGAACATTATGATATTTTATACATGAAGCACAGTGATTATTACATGCCTGTGTTTACTGAACACTGACTAAAATATCTTATATATGTAACAGTGATGATTACAGGACTGTCTTTACTGAACTCAGACTATACTATTTTATAGAGGAAGCACAGTCATCATTACAGGACTGTGTCTTTACTGAACCCTGACTGTAATATTTCACATATGAAACACAGTGACTATTAGAAGATTGTGTCTTTACTAGACACTAGATTGCCCTGTCTTGTATGTGAGTGCAGGGGTCAGTACCTTGCACAGCAGGGCAGTTCCTGGCAATAATACACACAGCATCAGAATCACTGCCTGCAACACAATGAGATGGTTCTTGGTCCTCTCACTGAGGTTGATCAGTTTTTCTGAGGTATCTTGGAGAGGAAATTAGGAGGGAGAGACAGACACCAAGAAGGACAGAGAGGGGAGGTAGAGAGAGGATTAGAAGTCATCATCTAAGTTTATTTTTCAAATAAAATCAGGTTTTTTTAAAGATTAAAAGAGTTGGTGTATCAGAGCTTTTCTGTGAGTGTGATTTTCTTTCTGCCTAATACTAGGAGAGAAGGTCTGTGTGTCAGTGAGTCAATGAGAGACTGCGCGAGTCAGTGTGAGAGTGTGGGTCAGTGCGAGACAGTGAGAGAGAGTGTGAGTGTGTGAGACAGTGTGTGTCTGCGTGGGACAGTATGGGACAGAGTGTGTCAGTGTGTCAGTGAGTCAATGAGAGACTGTGCGAGTCAGTGTGAGAGTGTGGGTCAGTGCGAGACAGTGAGAGAGAGTGTGAGTGTGTGAGTCAGTGTGTGAGACAGTGTGTGCCTGCGTGGGACAGTATGGGACAGAGTGTGTCAGTGTGGACAGTGTGGGGGACAGTGTGGACTCACTGTAGATCTTCAGGTAGGTCCCGGGAGAGAGGAGCGGGGTGGACGACGTGTTGTCCCGCAGGGAGCAGCGGTACAGCTGGGTGTCGTCCTCGGTGGCCTGCCGGATGGTCAGCGTGACGCAGGTCCAGTTGCCCTTCCTGCCCTCCGCCCGAGTGACGCGGTCATCCAGGGTGACGTTCCGCTGGCGGCTGGCGGTGCGGTTCCCGGCCCCGGGGGCGAGGCCCTCCCACCGCGCGCTGAGGCCCGCCCGCGCGGACTTGTAGCAGCAGGTGACGGTGGCGGTCTGCAGCCGCTCCACACGCACGGAGGGGGGCTCGACCTGCAGATCCACCTCGTTGTGCAGGAAAGCGCCCCCTACTGCACACAGAGCTGGGGACACAGAGGGGCCTCCCGTGAGCGCCCATCTCCGCGGGGGGGCGAGGAAGAGGAAGGTGGCAGGAGGAAGGTGATGAAGACGAAGGTGGCAGGAGGAGGAGGGGAGGGCGAGGAAGACGAAGGTGGAAGGAGGAGGGAGAGGGGAGGGCGAGGAAGATGAAGGTGGCAGGAGGAGGAAGGTGATGAAAACATCCTGTTCACTGCAGCTGCTCTGAGCGGAGATGAGGTTCAGTGGAGCAGAACAGAGCATCTAAAAATACTGATACACACTCACACTAAGATACACACACCAATACACACACCGAGATACACATACACAATGCACACACCAAGATACACACACAATACACAAACCGAGATACACACACACCGAGATACACATACACTTACTGATACACACAGATACTGTAGACACATACCCAAATACGCACACTGTGATACAGACACATACCAAGATACACACAAACACTGAGACACAAACACACACTGGGATAAACTAATGCACTGTGAAGATCACACAATGACACAGAGATGAGCAAACACAATAATTAAGAACCAGAGTGAAACACACAGCAATAAACACACTGACACACAATATAGAACATGCTGACAGTAATACACACAACAATGAACACACTGACAGTAATATACACACAGCAATGAGCACACAATAAGGAACACTGACAGTTACACACACACTGACGGTAACAGACACACTGACACACAATAAGGAACACTGACAGTTACACACACACTGAC